ATATATATATATATATATATATATATATATATATATACATAAAACTCACCCTCATGTCATTCCAAACCTGTACTCGACAATTCGTCTCCTCCGCATCACCCTATAGCGCCATTTGGGAGAGTATCGCATATGTAAACAAAGTATGCAAAGTATGTACGCGGATACGTGGTTTACGTTCAGATCAAAGCGTAAACAATGTAAACAACGTATCCACGTACATGTGTTGCTTACATTACATACGTTGTTTCAAAATGGCGCTTTAGGGTGACGCGAATTGTTGAATAAAGTTATTTTTGTTTTCTTTGCGCACAAAAAGTATTCTCGTAGCTTTGTAAAATTATGGTTGAACCACTGATGTCACAGGGATTATTTTAATAATGTCCTTGCTACGTTTCTGAGCCTTGATCGTTTTAGGACCTTTGCTGTCAATGGAGGGTCAGAGAGCTCTTGGAATTCATCAAAAATATCTTAATTTGTGTTCCGAAGATGAACAAAGGTCTTACAGGTTTGGAACGACATGAGGGTGAGTAATTAATGACAGAATTGTCATTTTTGGGTTTAATTGTCCATTAAGGTAAGCATTTACATACATTTGATACAATCTGAAAAGAAAAGCAAACCATTTATGGCTCTTTTTGGCATTATATTACATATACAGTACTGGCTTTAATTTAAAGTTTTTTTGAATTTGCTGATAATGGGATTACAGAAAATCTTTCTGCACTGATTTTGTTCCATCAAACAAGGTCTTTAACTAAGACACCAATACAATAAACATTCTTGCAGGCCAAAATGAACTCATCCATCCAACAAACACAGAGGCAATTTGGCCACCGAAATTAAATCAGACATTTGCAAAATAAAAAAAATTCTCTTGAACCAAGGATCTGACATAAGGTTTAGATATTGTAGCCCACAACATGTTTGCCTTTATTGTAGCACCCCCACTGGCTGTCCTTGGAGAGTCTAAGAGACGGAGTAGTGAGATATAATAATGACATTCCACCTGGTTTCAAGTCTCTAGGCCTTACAATTCAGGGCTCCATACTGTGACCAAATGGTCGCATTTTAGACCAATTTTTCTGCTGGTGCGACTAAATTTTGTGTGCGGTCACACTGGCACGACCACCACGTTGTTCAACTCATAAGTGCTGCCATTTCTGTTGCATATGAGAAATATCAAACGGCAAATGAAACAAAAGCATAATTTAATTTAATTGCAAGTTCAGCCAGCAGTTTTTGAGATTTCAGGATTCCCCCATTCATTTAGATAGGACTTGGTCTTGGATGAGCTGCCTGGAGGCATTGCAAATACGGTTGCCAAGTGAACAGACTTTTCTTGAAAGGGACTTTGGCAGTGTGGACAGTTTATCAACTCAGACCGCAATGTAAACAAACTTGTCTGAGCTCAGAACAGCTTTACTCGGGAACCAAAGATGATTTCGCAACACTGTTACAGCACATTGCTGCAAGATCCAGTGAGAAGCATTTAAATTTGCCGCAGAATGAATAATGTTGTTGTGAGATGTACTGAGAAGCATTCAAATTCTTCTCAGAATTCTCTGATATAAACAGATCAAACAGCGCTGACGTCAGAAAAACAGAAGTAGTAACGCTAACTATAACCATGGCGATCTGGCAGAAATAGAGATATTCAAGCACTTTTCAATGCCTTTCAAGCATTTCACACAACTATTTCCAGCCCTTTAAAGCTCTAAAAGGATCCAATTTGATTGTTATTTTTAATGGGATGACCAAAGTATACTTTGTGGTAGTGTTTTCACGGTACCAAAATTTCAGTATTCGGTACCAATACTCTCGGTACCAATTTCAGTACCAAAGCAAAACACAAAAACATGCTAATTAAAAAATTTGACTATACTTTAATTTAATCCAAACTGTGTGCATATTTAATTTTAAAGGGCTTTTAAAACCTTCTAGAGTTATTCAGCAAAGAATAACAACTAAGTTAGCTAAAAAAAAAAATTTACAAAAAAAAGCTCAGAACTGCTTTTCTGACTGATGTGACACAAACAAATGTTAACCATTTGTACATTCTCTAACATGCATATTTTAGATTCACAATTCATTTAAAAGCCTCTGGTGCGTAAAAATAGTAAATATCATCATGTCCTCCTGTTTTTTTTACCATAATAAAAGTTATAGGAGCATTAAACAGTTAATAAAGAAACTTCATTCTAATGCACATTATATTAGAGTTAGCCGCGCTTATGCTAACAATTAACTACTCTAATAACAGCGATGTTCATTTCAATCCGACATTCAAATTTAAATATTGAATAATATTCATAACATAAGCGGTGTTTCCCACAGACTTGCACTCTATTTGTAACTGTATATATATGCAAATTAATTCTCTGCCAGCTGGAGGTGCTTGTAGAGCGGGAGAGATAGAGGTTTCCCCAAGCGCTGCGCTCACAAACGCTGCTCGAGCATTTGCATATGAGAAATATCAAACGGCAAATGAAACAAAAGCATAATTTAATTTAATTGCAAGTTCAGCCAGCAGTTTTTGAGATTTCAGGATTCCCCCATTCATTTAGATAGGACTTGGTCTTGGATGAGCTGCCTGGAGGCATTGCAAATACGGTTGCCAAGTGAACAGACTTTTCTTGAAAGGGACTTTGGCAGTGTGGACAGTTTATCAACTCAGACCGCAATGTAAACAAACTTGTCTGAGCTCAGAACAGCTTTACTCGGGAACCAAAGATGATTTCGCAACACTGTTACAGCACATTGCTGCAAGATCCAGTGAGAAGCATTTAAATTTGCCGCAGAATGAATAATGTTGTTGTGAGATGTACTGAGAAGCATTCAAATTCTTCTCAGAATTCTCTGATATAAACAGATCAAACAGCGCTGACGTCAGAAAAACAGAAGTAGTAACGCTAACTATAACCATGGCGATCTGGCAGAAATAGAGATATTCAAGCACTTTTCAATGCCTTTCAAGCATTTCACACAACTATTTCCAGCCCTTTAAAGCTCTAAAAGGATCCAATTTGATTGTTATTTTTAATGGGATGACCAAAGTATACTTTGTGGTAGTGTTTTCACGGTACCAAAATTTCAGTATTCGGTACCAATACTCTCGGTACCAATTTCAGTACCAAAGCAAAACACAAAAACATGCTAATTAAAAAATTTGACTATACTTTAATTTAATCCAAACTGTGTGCATATTTAATTTTAAAGGGCTTTTAAAACCTTCTAGAGTTATTCAGCAAAGAATAACAACTAAGTTAGCTAAAAAAAAAAATTTACAAAAAAAAGCTCAGAACTGCTTTTCTGACTGATGTGACACAAACAAATGTTAACCATTTGTACATTCTCTAACATGCATATTTTAGATTCACAATTCATTTAAAAGCCTCTGGTGCGTAAAAATAGTAAATATCATCATGTCCTCCTGTTTTTTTTACCATAATAAAAGTTATAGGAGCATTAAAGAGTTAATAAAGAAACTTCATTCTAATGCACATTATATTAGTGTTAGCCGCGCTTATGCTAACAATTAACTACTCTAATAACAGCGATGTTCATTTCAATCCGACATTCAAATTTAAATATTGAATAATATTCATAACATAAGCGGTGTTTCCCACAGACTTGCACTCTATTTGTAACTGTATATATATGCAAATTAATTCTCTGCCAGCTGGAGGTGCTTGTAGAGCGGGAGAGATAGAGGTTTCCCCAAGCGCTGCGCTCACAAACGCTGCTCGAGCATTACAGACAAGATTAAATGAAAATTACCAGCTTAAGACCAGCACATGACCATCTAAGGACCAGTTTAAACCAGCATAAACCAGCAAAAAACCAGCATAAACCAGCAAAGGACCAGCATAAACCAGCATCAAAACATACCTAACCAGCATATGCTGTTTTTTCTATAAAATCACTATCACTGATGCCAAAAAAAGACTTATCTTTTAAAAATAAAAATCATAATTAAGAACAACAACATCATCAGTATATGTCATCCTTTTCAAGCCAATGGCAATGCATGAACAGCTGTCAATGACCAGAACATTCTGTGATGAGTGGTGTACTTACCTGAAACAGTGAAATTGCACAAATAGTTACAAGAATCACTATCCTAACGTCTACTTTGGGAGCAAGTCTTCTCCTGTAGTAGGTGTAGTAGTGGCTGTAGTATTCCTCTGGGTGGTCCAACATGTAGTCATAGTCCTTACGTAATTCTTCATCCTGAAAGTCACAATATTAGAGATCTATTTAGCTGTTATGACTAAAGCCAAGGACACACACTACACAATTGTCAGGCCGATTAGGAATGTAATTTGGTCTTGACGATGGATCGTGCCCCGTTGGACCGGGTCTGTTCCAGTTGGACTCAGTCTCTGTTTGCAGTCGGCAGAAAGTCATATAATGTCCTCTCTAACTGTCAAAGACTAGAATCTGCTCTCCAGTCGATGGTAACTGTCTTTTAGTGTATTGAGGTCAGTCTTAGAATGTTTCCGCTAGTCGTGTAGTGCGTCCCCAGCTTGAGTATGTACCATGTCTTTAAATTGCAAAAAAAAAGTTGCTGGATTGACAAAGCCTTGAGAACCAACAAGATTTTACGATAGACAATATTCATTAAATTAACATTAAACAAGACAAATAAATGCATGATTTATGATAAATGTATATAATCTAGTTGTAATGCGTTTTTTTTTTTTTATCATATGCACCATTATACAATTGTTTGCCCCACCACTTTTGCAGTAACGTTAGTAGTGATTGGACAGGGAAGGTTTGTTGTAATAACTGAGATAACCTGGGATTATTGGATCTCAAGCACCACCAAGGAAACTACTAATGAAGTTAGTAACCCAGTTAACAATTTTTGATTCCCAGAACGTTTTTTATGGTTTGTTTTTGGTTAGCAAGGAAAGTTTTCGTAACATTCCCAAAACGTTACTGTAACGTTAATATAACATTCCCAGAACGTTAGTTTTTGGTTCCCATAACGTTATTATAATGTTCCCCTAACATTAGTTTTTGGTTCCCAGAACGTTATTCTAACATTCCCCTAACGTTATTATAATGTTCCTTTTGGTTCCCAGAATGTTATTATAACGTTCCCCTAACCTCTTTACTCCGATATGATCACCCCCGCTGTACGTCAGTAATCATCCAGCACACTCGTGACCCAGTATAGCATAGAAATTATTATATATATATATATATATATATATATATATATATATATAGATATATATATATATATATACAAAAGAATAAAAAATTACTCGACTTAAAGTAGGATATCAGTACATTCATTTCTTACCACTGACGTGTACAGTTTGTGCAGCGGGACCTTCTTTTGATCCCTAAACAAAAACCTCTCGCTTAACATCATGAGTCCAGCCCGGGGTCGTCACATGTGGTTGCCGCAAGCCTGCCGAACGCTCCTTCGTCGAATCCGCCGGCCGTGCCGTTCCTCACTCTAGCCCGCCAGCCTCTGCTCACTCTAGCCGGCCTTCGAATACTCTAGTCCGCCGGTCATGCTAGGCCTCCAGCCTCCGCTCACTCAAGGCCGCGGTGTGTGACGCTGTTTCGTTGTGAAAGCTAAACTACTTTGTTGAGGACACGACTAGAAATCAGTGGTTAAGTTGTATTTATTTTGTTAAATCATAGTCTATATGACTATGCCGTTCCGTGCCGTATGGCGTGCTGTGAGGATATAAATTTAGGCTATTAGTTTAGGCTACTCCTCATTTAGAATGTTTTATTAATTTCTACAGTTGAATTATAGACCTATAATTACAATTATTAACACTGCAGACATCGATGAAAATTAAGAGCAGCTTTATCTCGTGCACAGATTTTCAAAAACAACATGTTTAACGCGAAATACGTTTCTTCTCATGTTTTTCACTATACGGGCCACAAGAGAAATATTAAGGGAATAATTTAAGACAGTTATATACCATCATCAGCCTATATTTAAGTAATTTTGTCTCTTGTTGTCTCAAAGAATATGCGCCGTTAATGCAGCGTTAGAAAGCTCCGTCAGTTTTTTTACTTTCACTTTCTCTATAGTGAATTGACTGACGTTCACCGGCATAACCGCCCCCATAATATCAATCGTTTATAGGCCACATATTAGGCTTTTTTTTTTATGTTTATTTTTTTTATGTTAATGAAAGTGACACCAAAAATAAGGGAATATCATTAGGAAATCCTTGGGGGGGCTGTGCCCGGGCTAAGCAAGTTTCTGACGGGCCCCATCAAGCCCCGCCACTGATTAGTCTAATTCGTTTTGGCTTGTTTAGCAAGTTATATTTTTCATTCTTGTTTTCTTCTGAAACCGTTCAAATTTGCCTATAGGCTAGGTATTGTGTTTATTATTTGTACATTATAACATTTCGCTTTATTTACCGGTGTTATGAATGTAATAATGAGGTTTGTGCTTATGGTTAATAATGGGTTTTATTGTTTTTGTCTCATGGCTTCGGCCTGACAGGGCATCATCACAATGTGGTGAGGGGCGTAGCATTTCCGTCACACGTTGAGGTATTCGGCCAATCATAACGCACTGGATAGCTGGCCAATCAGAGCACACCTCGCTTTTCAGACCGTTGAGCTTTGTAAAAATCAACGCGTTTCAGAAAGGCGGGGCATAGAGGAGAAACAATAATGTACAGTATGTGGAAAATAATGTATTTTTTAAACCTTAAACCGCATAAACACATTTCATTACACCAAATACACAAAATAATGTTCTTTTGAGCAGCATCATATGACCCCTTTAACATCATGTTCTCTTCAGTTAGGCATTTTAAATCCCTCCGAAATCATATTTACTCATAAATATATTAATTTTAAGCAATCATTCAATAAACAGATCGATAAACGAGCAAGTCAATCAGCCAGTAAAACGAGAAATGACCGTTAATTTTTCAATTCTGCGAGCGCGCGGCTCTCCGTGAAAGACAGGTGAAAGAGCGTGCTGGAGAAGCGCGTGCAGATCAGAGGCGCGCAGTAAATGAAGATAAAACAAACCCACGAATTTATGATTTCTTATACCTTAACCTTGGCTTAATATTATAATATAAATCGTGTTTTGATTGATCTACTTTCTGTATTTTAATAAATGCTGCATTAAAGGGATAGTTCATCCAAAAATGAAAATTTGCTGTTTATCTGCTTACCCCCAGGGCATCCAAGATGTAGGTGACTTTGTTTCTTCAGTAGAACACATTTGATGATTTTTAAGTCCAACCGTTGCAGTCTATCAGTCTTATAATGCATGGCAATGGTAACAAAATTTATGAGAGTAAAAAAACATGCACAGACAAATCCAAATTAAACCCTGCGGCTTGTGACGACACATTGATGTCCTAAGACACGAAACGATTGGTTTGTGCCAGAACCCAAACAGTCTTTATATCATTTTCTTCCTCTAATACACCACTATGTCCAACTGCTTTGAGCGCGCACGGCATCCGGTGCGTTTGGTGTGTACGCGCTCTGGCGTAGTTGGACATAGTGGTGTATTAGCGGTAAAAAATGATATAAATACTGTTCGGTTTCTTGCACAAAAAAAGTGAACCGTACCGAGCCGTACCATGCAGTGGAAAAGCGCCAAAAGTCACCTACATCTTGGATGCCCTGGGGGTAAGCAGATAAACATCAAATTTTCATTTTTGGGTGAACTATCCCTTTAAATGAATTTCAGGGCTCTGTCATTACACATTAACATCGGCAACGTTTTCACTATCTTACGGTTTATATAAAATAAATTAATTATTATTATTATTAATAATTATTATTATAAATAAAAAATGATATAAAAATAACCATTAGGGAACTTTCTGTATAGGTTATTTTTAGGTTATTTAAACATAACCACCATGCAACGTTCTGGGACCGTTATTTTATGGTTACAAAAAATATAACCTAAAAAGAACGTTCCCCTAACGTTAGTATTTGGTTCCCAAAAAAATAACCAAACGGGAACCAAAAACTAACGTTAGGGGAACGTTCTGTGTTTGCTGGGAAGGTTAGTTGGAATAATAATCAGTAGGTCGCATGAGAGCAGCATCCCATTAACGCGCATTCTGACTTCACTGAAACTCTCATTCTCCTTACAAGAACAGCGTGGAAGTTTGGTTTCACCTTGAGTGTCTCGTAAGCAGTAGCGACCAGCAGAAACTTTTGCTCCGCGGTTTCGCGGGAGTCGTCGCTCTCTCCGGGCTGGTATCTGTCTGGGTGATAGCGCCGGGCCAGCTGGCGGTACGCGCGCCCGATCTCAGCTTTACTGGCGTCACGCGAAACTCCCAGCACGTCATAACAGCTTTGAATCCCGCAATACAGTCCCTCAATGAGAGCGGAGACCGAAGAAAGTCCCAGGATAAAAACCAGACAGATGCATAAAGTGAGTCTCAGCTCGACAGACGCGGCCATGTCAGCATTCTGATGCTGCGGTCGCGCACTGATGACGCAACGCAGTACGTACACGTGTTGAATAAGGTAAAACAAAACAAAAAATGTCCATTTGTATGTGAATTGTCACTAAATTAAGCATTAAAAATAAATAAATAAAATTAAAAAAAGGTTCAAAATCACTTATTATGGACTAAAATTCTCTTTACCTGTCCCTCTGCTATTATTTTTTCGTTGCAATTTATGATTGTGCAATTTAACTAATATTTTTTATTTGTAGTAGCTTTTTTTAAAAAAAACTTTGGTTACACTTTACTTGAAGGGGTGTGCATAAGACTGACATGACACTTTCATAATCATGACATGACACCTACATAATCATGACATGACACATGTCATGAATATGAAGGTTTTTTTATGCATGTTTATGACAAATGTCATTAAATGTTATTCACACAGTTATTTAATA